TACAGATCGTAAGGGTATCATCAAGGGTATCATGAATATATATGAATGTATGTTGTATATTAATGTCCTAGTTATCGATATCCAGGGTAGACTGTCTAGTATCTAGTTTCCAAATGCCGCTAGCCGACAGACAAAATTTTAAGGTCAAACCGTATTAGAGAATTGAGAGAATACAGGCACACGCTACATTATATATTATTATACTATAATATATATTATATTATATACCGGGTGGTGCCTAGCGCGACGCAGCATAGGGATTTCAATGGTAATTTCTTTATAGTCAATTACTAGCTCCCCTAATTATTTTAGAGCAAAAGTCTAAATAAGTTTTTTTTAGAGAAAAAAATACTAAATCTGTTCATGCTATTACTCATAATTTTCCGTTTTTCAAAACCGTAGAAATCGACAAAATAAAAAGTTTCATTTTATAATAAATCAAATATTCCTTGGAATTACCTAAAAAAACAGCGATCACGTTTCATTATTTGCCTTTGACGTATATTAAATTTATACTTGTTTATAAATTAGTTAAAGAACTGCAAGTGCAATAACGTTCAAAATGTCCGTCAAAACTGAGCCTCTAGTTACCAGATGAAATATCTTTGAATCCGTTGGCTCTTCCCTCCTTGTGGATAATGTTCGGTTCCATAAACTCCCTAATAAAACATAAAAAAATTTAACGGAGAAATTTCAGGACTTCTTAAATTTGAATTAATAGATAAGGCCCTCTTCTTTTCCCCTTTCCTTGAGAAACTGACCTACGTCGAATAAAGTAAAGTCGTTATTTGTGAGGGAGATTGCGTGGCGTGATTAAATGAAATAAATCATTTACAAAATTTAAATGTGAAACATGGGGGTAATTAATAAATTCCTTTATTATAATTTCCCTTTCCACATAACTTAAATGGCCTGTTTAGTGTGGCATCAAAAATTTCTTCGGCCAAACTTGAAGCGCATCGTATACCATTTTAATTGTATACCGAAGGTGAAAAACAACAAGCAATAATAATCAGGTTACATTATCAGATACCTAGTCCAATTCTGTTTGAAGCTTTGATGGAGAATGAATATGAAATGAAAACACTGGAACGGGTCACGTCATCTCCAAAAATGTGCAATAAGTTTTTAAATTAATACATGTTAAGTAAACTATCCAACCTACAAGTAGTTACAAAATTCCGTCGATACTTCGATCTCAAAGCCAAAGCACTGTTAGATTAAATTGCGACGTAGATTATATTGAATTATCAATTTTTATTATACCTTAGACTTCTTTCGCCGGAATAAAATTCACGTAACACTCGGTAAGAATTAAATAGGGGAGCTCCAGCGTGGGATATTTATTGAATTAAGCTTATTGTTTCGATGCCGAATGAAGAAAGACAATTACTGGAATATAAGCAATTTTTTTTTCGGCTGAAGCTGAAATACTATTCCCTTGATGTATGAATTACACATTTTTCAATCTAGTATTGTGCAAATTCGAGGGTTGAACAGTTTGAATGTTTCATTTTAATGACTTTTGCTTAAATTGGATTTGTATTTTAAATGGTAGCTACGGCGAACCAAACATTTCCATTGCTATTTTCACTCTAAATGGGTACATGTAGTTGTTAAATAGAATATGTAGTTGACAGGAGTTATAATTTTGGCTTCAATTACACCACTGAAATTCTTCGTATCTCCGAAAAATGCTCAGAAACAAATTACGGTTCTAAACGAACATTGAAAACGGTATCCGAGCCTATCCATGAATGAAACAATCCACATACTTAGAATTTTTTAAATCCAATTAAAAGACAAACATTGTTGTTGGTCTCCATACCGCCAATTCTGAAACAAAAAGTCAAATTTTCTTTTTAATAGATAAAAATTTACAAAACCCCGCAAAAGTCCAACCACAAGCTCACTAGGTAATTAAATCAAACTATCCAATTCTAAAGTTAGAATACGAGTATACCTACTATTGGAACTTAAAATATTAGTGATGATTGACAGGTGAAATTTGAAAGCTTTTTTTTGTGTCCTCCTATGCTAATAAATATAAGTATACGCAAAAAGGCAAAAAAAGAGGCATGTGGTTTGTGGAAAACTCAATAGCGGTAACAGTGGTAGGAAGTTTACAAAACTCTAGCAACAGTTGCTTGTCCTAATACATCCTCTCACACTACCTTGGGATATAATATAATTATAATAAGAGACAAGGGCTACAATGATTCCGATATTTGAAGAGATGCCAAACTAATAGCAAGATTGCTCAAAAAGTGGGAAATTGGTAATTCTTAGTATTCTGTGTGTCAAAATGATAATGTTGCCGCATCGATTTGCCCTTTTGTTTTGTTAACGATATTGTGCTATTCCCGCATGATTTCCAGATAAAAGTTAATGATACGTTTGAAGATATGATAAGCTTATAAGTATCCTAATGGATTCGCGCAATTATCTCCTGAACTGTGGCGTGACGCAAAAGGAATCCGCATGCATTAAATTACTGTTGCACGGGATGTCAGACAAGTGAAACGGTGGCACCGCGAATCGATTGACTACCGTTCCAATTTTTCATCTATTTCAATGTATAACTTGCCGAAATATGCTTCGTGATGTGATGAACCGATTATAGTTATAGATTAATACGACGGATCTAAGTTACTGATTCTGGGTTACATCTGGACACAATGATAATTGACCGGCAAATTAATTGCAATGATTAATGTAGTACCATTGAATTTATAACTATATACTCGTATAGTTATAAATTCAATGGTAGTACCTACGTTCTTTTCTGGATTTCATTAGCAATCCAGGCTTCAGAGATATTTTTGCTGAAAAAATTCCTAGGGAAGATTCTTTTCGTCAATCGCTTCGTTTTATCGTCATGAACAACATCGTATAAATTTCTTTCAAAAATTCGGTCCGGAAGTATATTTTTCTACAACTGTCAAAAAAAACCTATCATTTTCTGACGAATTTCGAAACACGAAGTACTGCATTTTTAAACGGTTAATTAATAAGTAAGGTTGCTCTTGACCACGGTCCGTATACTAAACGGCTGCCTCAGTCCCGGCAGTTTGAGGGCGCGGAGAGAGAGGGGAACTTCCCGCGTGTGACGTAGTCTCGCCTGCCGTAGAATTTTCTGACGTTTGCACCACGGCCATCATACAAAGATGTATTGTATGCGTTTCTCACTCTCATATGCTGCATTTGTTATTAATGTGTTAATTTTCTTTCAAGGTATTGAATTATTGGTTATCTATAAGTATAAATTAAACTGGGACGGTGTCGTGTGTGTCCGCGAAACTTGTGGTTCATTAGACTAGAATGGATCAACAAATGCTACATGAAAGACAATTTCAATCCTCCGCGGATTTACAGTTTGCACTTTTTACCAATGGCACTCCATTGGAAATTAGATACATCTAGGGAAGGAAGAGTTAGTACAAGCGATTAGTAGAATCACTTCTTCAGGATCCAATTGACGTAACCACTACATGAACACCTGAATTTTCAACACCAAAGCTATGTGTTCAAGAAGTAAGATGTACTTGTACATGGACAAACAAGACATTGGGAGGCAAAGTGCCAGAATGAACATCCGGGACGATACAGAAAGACATGAAAAAAATTTCATCAAAAGCCGTCCAGCCGTTTAGGATTTCAGTCACACACATTCTTACAGAAGAATTTTATATATCAAGATTGCATGTAATACTAAATTATATACCTTTCGATTCCATAAGTAAAACTTACTGGTTTTATTGGTACCTAAACGTATAGCAAACGTCGACGATCGTACGTATGCTCCCGGCACCGGCCACTGTGAAAATGTCAAAGAAATAAACTACTCCTGATTGTTGCTTAAAATATCATTACAATATCAAACACAAATATGCAAAAATTAACTCTTTTTGCTATTAGAATTATCACCAAATGCATAGGTATAGTACATGAGAATTGTGTGGTGGGCGGTGCTTACTGCGGGCTGAAGTACGTCACAATTGGCAGCGCGTTTTATTGGTTGTTTGGAAGTGACACTTCAGTACTTGTCATAATGGAGGGAAGTTGTCACTTTAGTCTCGGAAGTACGAAAAATTACTTCTTAAAACAAATCAACATCTGACTGTCATATTAATTAGTTTGAATATTGTTGCTTTGGCTTAACAGAAAAGATATTTCTTACGCTCCTCCTTAAACTGGTACCGGCAATATACCAATTGACAATATCAAGTTTTTCTTTTGTCGAATACATCGCACTCGAAAATGAAAATGATAATCCGGAAACCAAAGCAACAATATCCAAATTAATGAATGTGACAGCTAGATATTTATTTGTTTTAAGAAATTATTTTGGTTGCATAGAATTAGGCGTTAGTAGTTTTATTATGGTAAACTTCGTCTCCCAATGATTCGCTGAAATTGGCAATAATAAATTGCTCTTCAAAAATAGCTGAAAAGTTTTTTCCACTGGTATTCTTACAGAGTACAATAAGTGACAAAACGTCTGTACTAGGCGGCACTAGTGTCGCTTACTTAATAGCTCTGCTTCTTGTAGCGTCCACTGTTTAATCCAAGATAATTGAATGCAGCAGCAGCATTTGCTTAACGTTCATTACTATTTCGACAATCTTCCATCCTTTGCGACACTATTTCGTATAATTCGAGGCTTTGATCGTAATCGCATTTTGTATGAACATTTTGAAACTGGTCGAGCACATTTATATGGCATTGTGCGAATTCGTGCTGCCAGGACGTAAAGTTCATTCATCACACCTACCGATATTGTAATACCTTACTGCAGTCATTTGTTGTTTCTTCTATCTTGAACAAAATCTCGATTATTTCAATAATTTTACTCTAGCTTAAAGCTGGATATCGCACCAATCGTTAATACCAATGCATTAAAAGGTCATTAACGCAGAGTCGAAAAACACGATCATGCCGCAGTTTATTTACAGGGATGAAGATTGTGGTGGGGATGATCAATAATTGTATCTACTTACTGTCCGTATCAAACTTCCTGATGATCGTTTCAATTAACGTCGTCCTGGGAGCCACGTGACCGCGTCGTACTGGCATAATAACAACATTAACCTCCAAACTGCGTCGATAAAACTGCACCGTCCCCTCAAATCAAATTCAAACGTTACATAACCTCACAATAATTTACGCTTTTTTTCGTTTGGGCGAATCTATGGCGGTGCAGCATTTTAATTAATCGGCAAACAAACCCCATGTTCTCGTTGTATCATTTGAATTAGGAGAAGTGAAAATAATCGTTCGGGTTGTACAAAAATCAATAAAATTCTCGCGTAAGCCTGTCGGAAACAAAATAAGGCAATTTAAGGCATATTTCTTCGAGTGCCTTCTGGAATACGAAACGCGTCTAGTTGCTACTCTGCTCGGTCGGATGTTTATTTATATTTGATTTTATAAATAGATTCCTAATATCTACACAATTTAAACGAGTACGTCTCAATTGCACTCCCGCTAACTATCCTTTTGTATCACAGATAAGGCCATTGGGACGCGTTTTTGTCAACTCTGTTCGGTTGTCGATCGTGAACTAGCGGCCAATCAGTTTTCACGTCAGATTTATATCTCGAAACCCTTTTTTTCGACGAAATTCGACGCGCAAGCGAGTAGCGCCACGACGCGCTTGGAAGGCGTCGGTTTTCTACGGACGCAATGCAAATAATTCGCACATGTGAGTTAAACTCCGCAATGTTAATGCGATTCAAAGCGAAAGATAGTAAATGACACGCTCTTTTCCGTATCCCTGTGGCAATAAGTTTCAACTCATTTGATTTTCTTGCATTATTACGTAGGTACTCGTATATTAAAAATGATGGCGATGCAGTATTACGTTAATATTTAATGACTTCACGTTCTTTTAGATACACCACCCTCTCACAATATTTCAACCTCGATTTCCATTCTTCTGTATTAATTAGAAACTAAGATTGCTTACACGATATTAGGCCGCGGGAGAGTAGACAACTGCACGTACGCGTATGCTAGACGCCTACAACACTGACGAAGGGGTTCTGTGAACCGGTTATGCAGTGCCATCTACATTAAACATGCTACAAAACACCATCGAGCTTCGCATCACACATGAAATAGAGAATTAAACCAGGTGCCAAATTCTTGACAGAACAACTTCCTAGCTCTAACCAAAGAGTAACTATGGGTACTCTTTGCTCTAACTAACTCTGAATTATGTAGATATTAATAAACTTGAATCTGTGCAACGTAAATTTTGTAAATTTTTACATTTAAGAATGTATATTATAAATCTTAGCCTTGGTTTTATATGTATATATTGCACATAATTCTATTGATGCTCCCGATTTGCTACAACTGCTGAATTTTTTATACCACGTAAAGGCTATAGGGGCAAAAATTATGTAAAAGAGATGATTACGCTGTGTCCAACGCGGGCTGAAATCAAGCCAAAATTTTTGAAAGCAAAAGGCCAACTAATCGATTACCAAACGATCACCAAACGGGGATTCGCTACCCTCATGACTTTCAACGCCTGGATCTGTTCTAGTAAAAAAGAATGTCCTCAAAGACTGATCCTTTAGTAGAATAAGCTGAACTTATCGAGAGTAATCCTTACTACTCTTTAATTAGAAGAGCTAATGGAGAAAAATCAACGGTGACAAATCGTCATTTAGCGCCCTTCCCAAACAACGTTGAAGAGGGTGAAAATGACGTTAGTCCTGAAACTTCAGGGACCGAGGCCTCACAAGAAATACAAACTTCTGATGGATCTTCGACGGAACAAGAGGTTAAAAGGTCTACTCAAATTAGAAGACCATCATCACGGTTTAGAAACTTTGTTCTAGAAAGTGGAATTGAAAATTCAATAGAGGAAGAATGATAAGATATTTTATCTTGTTATCATCTGATAGTCACTTATCGTTATTGTCAAAGTTCATTGAATTGTCTAATTAATTTCTAAAAGTCATATTTCCAGTCGTTACAAGTATCTATATCACGGCCACTCTTCAAAATTTTGGAAAAAAAAGAGAACAACAACGCAACATTCGTCAATGTGGGCGATGCTATACGTTTTATAGAAACTGTCACCTTTGGCGTACCAAACGCGTATCAAGGCTTTGTCTTCGAAACTGCCTATGGCTTTATTGCCAAAGACCGTTGTCGTATAATTGTATTCCTTTCATTTAATCTATTTTACGGTCGCTGTTTTGTTTAGAAGAATTACCAATTCTGAAACCATCGGCTGCATTTGCACTCAAGACTCACTCAGAGTGAAGAATATACGTTTATTTTATTTGTACAGTTTTCAATATAAGAATTATTTACTAACTTTGTACTTTATTTTCCATCGTGATAACCAAACTGATAAGAAGTGTATTAATCAAGATAGATTACAGTTCATTCATTACTTTGTTGGTGCATGATCGCGTGGTTCTTCACACTTAGCCGCAAACAGTGAACCTAATGATAGATTAGTGGAGAGATTACATCGGTTGCAAAGCGGCGAAGGTTTACATTTGGGTAATAAACTTTGAATGGGCCAAATGAAGGTCCAATTGGCGGTGCAGCTGTCCAGCAACCCGGTGGAAGATGCTTTTGAGTACTGTCAGAAGTCAGATATAGAAGGTTTTGAAAATGGAATACGATCGGCAAATTTTATTAGAATAACCAACAACGTTTTTGACATTTTAAACAGTTGAAACCTGATGGCACCTAGCTGCAAGAAAGTTCTACATCAAAGGATCATTGAAAATATTTCAACTTATACAGGGTGTTTTTTTGGGAGCTTTAGTTAAAAGTTTCTGGGAAAGTAAAATAGGTAGGTTTTTGAAAATTTGTACTTAGGAGTTACTCTGAAGGCTGAATCGATGTAAAATATTTTCAAAATGGCCGCACTTCCGGAAACACCGGAAGTAGATAGTAACTTCGTTATTTTAAATGGCAACCCCTATTTTTTATTGCATTTTTCGATTCTATGTGAAATTTCAGTTCTTTTGATACCCATATGTCGATACCTGCCATTTATGGTTTTTAAGTTATTTTGACTGTAAGAAAAAAAATGGCGGATGCAGATGGTACCTTGATAATTGATTACTTGAAAACGGTTGTAGTCATGGCAACCTATTTTTATCAGTGCAAAAAAAAGTTAAGTTGCGTACGACCGCCCCTATGAATATCCAAATTTATGAAACTTCAAAGACTAAAAACTCAGTTTTTTTTAATGGAATGACCATGTTCTTACTATTCCATCGAAATTGGCATATTTTGACTATACATGTTCCTATAGCTATCTTTAACAGTTTCTGACTTATTCCCATTTTATTGAATTGACACTATTTTTTTTCGGATTTTCTTTTTAGTAGTCGGCCATGATTCTATAACAATTGAATTTTAAACAAATCTAGTGACACTAATCCATCACCCACTGTTATAGGTTAACATAAGTTTTTCAAAAATCGAAAAATGACTCGCAGTGGTTTCACCTATTTTGGAATTTAATTGTTATTTATGGTGAAATGGGCAGAATCCCGGCGCGTGCTTTCCGTACATTCACTCAAACACTGGAACGAAATTGTATGAATTTTGGAAATTTTGTACCCCTAATGCACTACAAACCGTTGAAGCACAAGTGATACAAAGCTCTTCAAGAGAATATTTAAGAAAATGAATTGAATTGCAAATGCAAGATTAACATATTAAATTCAATGCAAAATATAAAAAACTTCGTTGAAACATTTTTGGTATGGAATTGTTGCTAGAACAGATATCGCATTACCTCTCTTAATTTCCAGACTTATAAAGTTGTTTAAGAAATTCAGTTGAACGACTCTGTTTAGATTTTTCAAAAATTTTCCGTCCTATATCCTTAATAAATGAGTTATTTATTAATGAATTATTTAGACTAGAACTAGAATCAATGGTATTAAAGAATCCATTCCTTGATTTGTTTAAAATTCGATTGTTATAAAATCATGGCCAACTACTAAAAAGAAAATGCGAAAAAAATGGCATCAATTCCGAGATCAATTCAATGGAATGGGAATAAATCAGAAACTGTTAAAGATAGCTATAGGAACATGTATAGTCAAAATATGCCAATTTCGATTCTCTATCTCATGCAATATTAAGAACATGGTCATTCCATTTAAAAAAACTGAGTTTATAGACTTTGAAGTTTCTTAAATTTGGATCTCCATAGGTGCGGTTGTACGCAACTTAACTTTGTTTTAAGTGCACTAAAAGAAAGCCCTATTCATTCTCTATTCACTGATAAAAATAGGTTGCCATGACTACAACCGTTTTCAAGTAATCAATTATCAAGGTACCATCTGCATACGCCATTTTTTTTCTTAAAGTCAAAATAACTTAAAAACCATAAATGGCAGATATCGACATAATAAAAAATAGGGGTTGCCATTTAAAATAACGAAGTTACTATCTACTTCCGGTGTTTCCGGAAGTGCGGCCATTTTGAAAATATTTTACATCGATTCGGCCTTCAGAGTAACTCCTAAGTACAAATTTTCAAAAACCTACCTATTTTACTTTCCCAGAAACTTTTAACTAAAGCTCCCAAAAAAACACCCTGTATAGGTACGTGTAGCTACAAAATACATTTCAGGACTGAAGTTAAACTTGATGGGCCACAATTAATCAATTCAAATAGAACAAGTTCAAAAAGTAATCGTAAATGATTTATCAAAAGCGCATTTCCACTTGCATTCATTTCCCATTTGTAAGATGCTACTTCTGTTAAAATTGTAAAAATCCGGCAAATATAAAAGATATAAAAGTTTGCATAACTGATAGATTGAATTACTTAAAATATTTGGCAAGCTTAAAGCATATTCAAATATTTATTATTCAAGGGCAGTTTAATGGTTGTTCATACATTATTTAAACATAATTTATCAACGAAATAAAAATGTTCACTGTATTACGAAATTTACAACCCCCGCACTCTAAGCAAGCTGTAACAGATTGTATTAATAACTTGAAAAATTTAGTAGGCCTAAAGCATACGGAAATTGATTATTTTAGGACAGTTTAAGGGTTGTTTATACATTATTTAATCATAATCTATTATAGAAATAAAAATGTTCACTGTATTACGAAACTTACAACCCCCACATTCTAAGTATTCTATAAGTTATGGTTTGAATTACTTAAAATATTTGTCAAGCCTAAAGCATACGGAAATTTATTATTCAAGGGCAGTTTAAGGGTTGTTTATACATTATTTAAACATAATCTATCATAGAAACAAAAATGTTCACTGTATTACGAAAGTTACAACCCCCGCATTATAAGTATTCTATAATTTATAGTGTGAATTACTTATGTCATGGGTCAAGGGTCATGGGTAACGGGTCACGGGTGATGGGTAATTGGTAACGGGTAACGGATAACGGGTATATGGGCAATGGGTCATGGGTCTTGGGTAATCGGTCATGGGTCATATGGGTCATGGGTCATGGATAATGGGTAACTGGTCACGGGTAAAAAATTAATTTCTCGAAAACGGCGCGCCCCATCGAAAAACGCTTTGCGGAAAGGCGTCGTGCGCGTACCGAGCGACGTAATACCAAATTTCGGTACAAATCCGAAACAAAAAATTATCGCATCGGGAGTGTGCGAAAAGTCAACTTTTTTATTTAGGAACCGATCTACGATTACCGAACGTCGATCGGTAGATTTCGTCGAAAGGGTCGGCGACGACCCTTAAAACATTCTGGGTCATATATATATAAATAAGAATTTTACGGCTTGGGTTAGGATCTCCGAGAAAAACGAAAAAAATTCATTTCTCGAAAACGGCGCGCCCCATCGAAAAACGGATTGCGGATCCGCGACGTACCCATTGTGAGCGACGTAATGCCAAATTTCGGTACAAATCCGAAAAATTTGCACACCTCGAGCCGTGACGTCGGAGGTTTTTAAGTAATGGCAAATGAACGGGAAGGATTATTCAATATCGCGGTGGCGCG